GTTTCCGAAAGCCATCCGACTCATAGGTCAATCATCAAACAATAACATCATGAAGTGCATGTACAAAATATTATGTACACAATTGAAAAATAGTTCATTGGACAGTGAGCTTGCAAAGTACATAAGTAATTTTCCATATCAGACATTGATTTTTGTACGTTTTCTCGTAGCACAAAATTTTTAATTATTAGTAGTCGATAAATCCGAAACATTAAAACTTCTGTGTTAAAATCTCAGGTCCTGATATAATGGACATTTTAGGATGAAGTGAAATTCATCTTCTATATCATCAGAAGCACAGCGAGTACATGATCTATTCTGTCGAACAACATTGTTTCGTCTAATTAAGTTATGAGATGACAATCTGAAATGTTGTAAAACGTTGGTACTTTGGTTCTACAGATTAACATTAGTAACATTAACAGATAAATAGATTTCGAACATATATCTTCCAAGTAAAGGCTAGACAAATCGTAATATACTTACTGTTTTCAGTGGTTCCATGTGCACACCATACAACCATGTTTCAAGAAATATTTTGAACGGGCGTTTTTAATATATGCTGGAATGGAATTTTGCCAGAACTATTTATATAGCATGCACCCGTTGTCTTATCTGTATAAAAGCACAGGTAGTATACATAGTTAGTCTGCTGGATAACCGATACATCCGGTAGTGAAGCGGACGTAAAACCTATCAATCATATACAGTGTAACTTGTTTTGTGTATAATACGTACATGTATATACATTTGTGATAATCATAAGTTTCTATACACAGAATTACATTATGTTATTCTTTCCTATTTCCTTGGTTAGCGGCCCCTAAGCCTTTTCCAATGCTGTCCATGTAAAGGTCTATTATATATTTAAAACCGGATAATAGGACAATGTAAATATACAATTTTAGTTCAGTATGGTATTTATATAAAAGCAACATATTTTGTTGCAATCGGCACATCAACTAGTGGAAATTAAAAAAAAAACTAGCCTGTGATATGGTGTACCGATTTGGGTATTAATCATGGCCGAAAAACAGACGAAATCTCACTGCGAGTTAAATGTTCTCTATTTGAAAATACATCACTTAGAATCAAAACAAGTCTCTGTCAAGAATCAAGAAACATTCCAGATACAAGATCTGAATTTATAAATATCACCGAAAATCTGTCAAGATTGTAACAATTGTGTTAGCGTAACGTTATATACAGATATGTTATTATACAATGTAATGGTAATATACAAGTTTTTCAAGCAGTTTCACAAACGTTTCTTAATATCAGAAAAACATATTTCTAAAGTCTGAAAAAAGTTTTCTTGACGTAAGATTTTCCTTAACTCCAATAATGCGTCCCTTATAGCTTAATTTAAGAATTTCTTTAACTAAGAAACGTTAATGAAACTTAGGCCTGCTGGTATTTGCTTTCTGTGTCGTCATATGTTGCCGATGTGTTTTACCTGGAAATTATTCGATTGTTTTTAGAAATGAATAGCTACATGTACATAAATAACGTACTGTAATCATTTACATACATTTAAAGTTAGAACACACGAAATAGCCGGTGTTGTTTGTGCATGTTAAACTGGATGACTCAGTGCTTCATATATATTTGTAATATTTCTATTTTTAAATAGTGAAATAGGTAATAAGCATAGAAACGAAACTGTTACAGTACATGTGTTGAGTTAATTGTGCTGCTACTGTATTTGAGTCAATATAAGAAATCGTCACATTTCTTCTCCGATCACTTGACTTTTGATTTTGATTCTGTCCTGTTTCCGTAACATTATATTGTTCATTTTATACATTGTGGCCAAGTTGAGTACAATTATCCAATAAGTCTTTATTAATACATAATTTCCTGAATCCTGGTTATCGCAAGAGTAAGAAGGAGACGATATGAATAAAAAATGTACAGACATCAAAGATAAGGATTTTCTAATCTTATTATTGATTTTGAGGTATTATTGTAACTGTCTAAAATTGTATCCATTCTATCTTACTATATAAATAGTGTGAGAAAAAAACCTTTTTGGGCTGTTATTTTCTGTGTTGTGACTTAAAAAAAAAGTAAGATGATAGAAATATATATGTAACAGCTTAGAAAAGTTCCACTTGGATACGTATTTTTTTATCAAAATAATAATAATCATTAAATAGATGTCATTGAAAATCCAAAACTTGTTTATGAAAGTAGCATGCTCCAACACTGTCGAACACAAGTTTTCCACAACACTTCTTATCAAATTCTCTGAAACTGGAATTGATTGATGAAAATATTAATGAGATTTTGTTCGATACTGTGGTCATTTTCTGTCCTGTTACCGACAGTGAAATAAAAAGGGACTAAATAATGTTTTGAATGACCTTTATTTTAACAAAAAATGAAAAAATATTCAAGTACTATCTCATTAAGAAGCATAAATTAATTTGCTCAGATTTAATCGGTTTTCATAGAGAAAAATATGAAAAAGCAACAACCCTGTCTCAAATTACATCTACAGTATAAACAAGTAGGATGGAGGACACTAACTGAAAGACGCCAAAAGCATAAACTTATTCAATTTTATAAAATGTTACATAATATAACTCCTGAATATCTATCCATCCTTATCCCACCGCAAATAGCAGATACCCATAGCCATAGTACTCGACAATCAAATAATCTTTCATCTCTCCGTTGCAAAACTAGTTACTATATATCATCTTTTTTACCTTCCACTGTATCATCTTGGAATAATATGCCAGTTGAAATTAGAACAAATCCCTCTTTATCACACTTAAAGAAAAACCTCGAAAAAGATGCACGACCGTCCCCTCCTTCTTATTACTATTCTGGAAAAAGAATTGCCCAAATATACCATACCAGACAAAGACTATCATGCAGCACTCTAAATGACCACCTATTTAAAAGACAACTTGTGAAAAGTCCACTATGTACATGCGGGGAATAGAGGATAATACCCATTACTTACTCATATGCCCGAACTATAATGTTTTACGGCACACTTACTTACAATGTATTATCACCACCCCACAACACCACAACTAATTTGTTATTATATGGTGACATAAATTTACCGGAAGCAGTTAATCTCGATATTTTTACATCTGTGCAGATTTATATCATGCAAAGGAAGCGTTTTAACTGAAAATATATGATAATCAACGTATATGTACTTATCTTAAATTATTTTCTATGTAACAGATGTGTTAACAGTGTGAGTATGCGCAATGGGCATGGAAACCATATTATGAACAAGTTTCTCATTTTGTTTGTATTTAGGCGTACATCACTTCGAGGCGTCATTTCCTACTTGAGTATCACTGCTATTCACATTCATCGAAAATTGTTACATTGTTTACATATCCCCTTTATATTTCTGCCATTCTACGAAAGTATCTGAAGTATATGCATTCGAACTTAATTATTTCAATATGATTTAATGATTACTACATCTGCTGTCAGTATCGTATATCTAACCTAACGAAATGGACATTGTATAAGTGTTTCCGCATCGTTGTTGATTATGTATATTGAAATTATAATGTATTGTATATTACCAGAAATAAATACAGTTTAAACTAACTTACATCTTTGACTAAATCATAAGAAAACAGTAACCAAAGATATACTTCTAAAACAATAGTTTATAAATATCAGTTACAATATGAACGTTTTATCAGGAAAGAATATTTTTCTGTTTTTGTTTCTGTTTTTCAAATTTGAAATATTTTCCTCCAAATACATTTATTTCATAACATATCCCTCTAGATGTGTATTTAAAACTGCTCCTTTTATGTGAAGATGAAGTAGAAAATGAATAGCCAATACCTTCTGTTTCTAAATATTCCGTAATAAAATTGTGACAATTATACTCGTGTACTCATCTATCACTCCTCCTTCAATGGAAAAATCGCCAATGTCATTTTCACTAAGTAATTGACTATTCGAGATTTAACAGAGACAAAAATGAAAAAAAAAACACGTAGTTCACGAGATACGTAAACACTTAGGTATTTACTTGTTTTAGATATTTCTATTTATACTATAACCTAAGAGTATTTAGATATAGGAACACATCGTACGAGGTGTGGTTTCTTTACTTCAACACTCGGTATTTCCGTGTCTTCTACGTTTCTATACATAGGTACACGTCAAACATGACGCGATATCTATAAATGGATACAAAATCATTTGGTATTTCCATGTTTTAGATATTTCTATTTATTCCATACCTAAGAGTATTTAAATAGAGTAACACATCGTACGTAGTGCGGTTTCTATAAATAAACACTCGGTATTCCCGTGTCTTCTATACATAGGTACACGTCATACGTAATGCGATATCTGTGCAAACATATTTGGTGTTTCCATGTTTTAGATATTTCTATTTATAGAGAAACGTTCGACAGGATGAAGATAGCCTTCCATGACAATTACATTACAGTTTGTCTTGATGCAGGCCTATTGTCATGTTGACCTCAGTCTTGATAAGAATTGTTCGAGTTCAACTGTATATATCGCCTTCTTTTGATTTAAAAGTAATAAAATATCGTACAGAAAAACATATACTTTTTTAAACGTGTCTATTAAAAGCTTTCTGCATAAGCAAATATAAATAGATACACGTCATACGTGGTATGATGTCTATTAATATATCCACAAACAGCCAGGATTTCCCGAGTTTTAGATGTTTCTATTTATACCGGACACGTTCTATAAATAATATATCCACTCTATTTGATGTAAAATTATAAAAGGTTCGCGTCATGTTTGTCATTCCTTTTTAATTTTGATGTCGCATGTAAATCAATTACTGAAAAAATATTTGTATTTTTAACACAGATCTATATTACATAAAGTTTAAAGTGTCTTGGATTTCCAATGCTTTTCTTTCGTTTAACAAGACAAACATTTCTGCAAATTGCATAAAACAATATTTTATATGAAGTCACGTAAAATAAATCAGATTGAAAAATCGTAAAAATGATACTTACAAGGTGTCTTTGCCTTCGTATATACGATATAACAACACATCCTGATAACGATAGCTGATGGTGATTGAAATTGACTTAACTCGATAAAGACCCTTGTAACACAGAATGCCTGTAATTATGACCTTCAATGCTTATTTGGTTATGTATATTCCTCATCGCAATATTTCACAACACCGCATCTGATTGACTGATAGCAGTTGGTAAAACCGTTTTAAGTATACTGTCATAATTCAATCTTGCTTGTAACAAGCATTTTCATTGGCTTAAAAAATTATATTATCAGCCCATAACGTAAAAAATGACGTCGCCGTTTGTAACGTCGCTTTTGATTGGCTGATACAGCGGCGTAATAATTTCTAAGAGAAAAGAGTTTCCACAGGGATTATTGCATAAGTTAGAATTGTATGGTATAGAAGGTAGCATTTTAGATTGGTTTACTACTTATTTGAAAGACAGATTCCAGCGAGTTACTGTCAATGGGGCAACATCCGGTTGATGTGATGTAACTTCCGGTGTGCCTCAAGGTTTGATACTTGGACCTAAAATTTTCCTTATTTTTATCAATGAACTGCCATCTATTGTGAAATTTTCTAAAACTCTTATGTTTGCCGACGACAGCAATTTTTTAAGTGTGTAAGAACGTTGTCTGAGTGTGAGCAGCTACAGAGCGATATAGATAGAGTGTATGATTGGTGTACTTTGTGAAAAATGAAAGTGAATGTGAAGAAGTGCTGCCAGGTCATTTTTACAAACAAGAAGAAATGTATTTTAATTACACTATGAACGGTGACAACCTGAAGAATGAAAGATGTGTGAAAGATCTTGGTGTTTGGCTGACCTCTTCAATGAGTTTTAGTACCCACATTAGACGTACTGTTTCCAAATGCGAATGCTCAGTTTTATAAAACGTACATGTACAAATTTTAAACAAATATCTGTTTTAAGGTCTCTATATATAAGACTTGTCAGGAGTCAGTTAGAATACTGTTGTCAGATCTGGTCTCCTTACCAAACATCCAGCGTAAATTTTTATTTTTAAGGCACACGTTGACTACAATTCCATGTCTTACGCTGACACTTTTTAATCTTCCTAGCCTCGAACATAGGCGGGCATTGTAACACATAGTCAAGCAAATGTGTTTTTTAGTCCCTGGTCGTAATCTACGATCAATTCGTCTTAACCAGTTTTACTGCCAGAGAAGTAGAATAAACGTTAGAAAGTATAGTATTTTAAACAGGATTCAATGTAATTTTAACTATCTTGATTTTGTACCAGACTGTGATATGTTTTGTTCCTCTCTCGCCGAGTTCAAAGTACGGTTAAAGAATATTTGCTATCACTAATTCCTTTTGTTTTACATATGAGTATCTTTTAGGCTGTGTTACATGCATAACTGACTGTGATATTTTATACTTGTGTTGTAATGTTGTTATCCATTCTGTAAGTGGACCCTTGGGTCTGTTGAATTGGAAATAAATAAACAAATAAACAAATTATTGGGATTGTGTATAGTAGATTAAATTATAAGGATTGACTTGAATATATTTTTTGTGTTATGTAGCTATAACACAAAAAATCGGAGTGTACTCTCATCATAAACCGCTATTTAGAATACACTCCGTCTTTTTGTGTAATATCTCCATAACATACACAAATATATTCAAGTGTTAATCCTTAATTATCAACAAATGACATTTTATGCCCCCACCATCAAATGGGGGAATATAGTGTTGCCCATGTCCGTCGCGTCCCGTCCCGTCCCGATTCAATGTAAACACTTAGCAACTTCATTCTTTGACAGATTTTGGTCAAACACTATACAAAGGTACAACCCTCAATAAAATGGGGGGGGGGGATATAGTGTTGCCCATGTCCGTCCCGTCCTGTCGCGTCCCGTCCCGTCCCGTACCGATTCAATGTAAACACCCGCCCCGTCCCGTCCCGATTCAATTTAAATACTTAGCAACTTCATTCTTTTACGGATTTTGGTCAGACTTTATACAAAGGTCAACTATGGGTATACCTCTGACATCTTTGTGTTTCAGGGTCCAGGGTCAAGGTCACTGTTGCTATATATAGAAAATCATCAACTAATTCAATTTAAACACTTAGCAACTTCATTCTTTCTTGAATTTTAGTCAAACTTTATGCAAAGGTCAGGTATGAGTATACTTCGGACATTGTTGTGTTTCAGGGTTCCAAGGTCAAGGCCAAGGTCACTGTTGCTATATATAGAAAATCATCAACTGATTCAATTTAAGCACTTAGCAACTTCATATTTCTTTCACGGATTTTGGGTATATAAAGGTCAAATATTGGTATACCTCTGACATCCTTGTGTTTCAGGATGGTAATAACATAAAGAAAAAGCATATGAATATTAAAATCAACTTATCAACTTTAAGTGTAGTAGCTTGTGTGCGTGCATGTTTCAGGGTATCAAGATCAAAGTGGTTGTAACTTTTTATAGAACACTGAAACTAATTTCACATGGCAGTGGGGGCATTTATGTCTTACAGACATTTTCTAGTCTTATCATACTGATTTACTATTACTTTTTCTTAGAAAACTAGAATATTTTGATTTTTTTACATATTTTAGTATGTATGATTATCACCTTTTATACAATAATCACTATCTTATAATTCTCTTTATACGATTACCATACTTGGTTAAATGATGATTATCAAGACGTTTTTGTTATTTGCAAGCATTTTTGAGACTTATTGAGTTTTGTTATGTATTTAAGAATGACATAAACACATGTTCCATAGAAATTATGCGAGTTTATGATATATGATATATTTTTTGTTTTTAATTTTGTATACAATATTATCTCTAAATTGGACGGTATGTAAGCTAGCAAGTGTCACATTCCATGTTTTCTTTTATTCGATCATACGGGGGTGGGGGGATTTTCAAATTAAGAGTTTCCGATTTTACCTTTCTGCAACATATGGACAGCTTACGTATAGTCACTAATAATCGTACCTTTTCCTATTAACGTCCGGCAGGTGATAGTTGATCGACAAGAAATTAGCTTTGAGGCAAGTACTGAAGTATCAAAACTAAGCCTGTGCAACATTAGTATTCTTGAACTCTCCTTATGGACCACTGTAAAAAAAAATTATGTTGAAAAATTAATCTTATTTCTTTATATAAGACTGACAAGTACTGACATTACATTGTGTGCTAATATATACACATTTATGTATATCAGTGCTATATGCACCACGTTAAGTCAATCGTCAAACTTACTGTATTGTCATACTTGACTACAACCGTCATACATGGATGTAATCTGTAGAAAAACATATTGGTCGTCTACGCGAAGTTCTATAATTAGACGAGTGTTTTTTTCCGGAAATCCCCATTTCTAGTTTTAGATTTTCAGTAGCTGAGTAACACACACCGAGTTGAAACTTGACAGCCTTCCCAAACTTGACGGCCTCCCCAAACTTGACGGCCTTCCCAAACTTGACGGCCTCCCCAAACTAGACGGCCTTCCCAAACTTGACGGCCTCCCCAAGCCTTCCCAAACTTGACGGCCTTCCCAAACTTGACAGCCTTCCCAAACTTGACAGCCTTCCCAAACTTGACGGCCTTCCCAAACTTGACGGCCTCCCCAAACTAACGACATACATAAGACAGTGTAAAAGTATTGTCAAGATTTATTTTAAGACTCCTATGAGCACAGTACAAATTAAAGGCAGTTCGGGAGACCCCAATTCTATTTTTAGACTGAAAGTACAGAACGCAGTTTAAAGGTCTCATAAACCTTGGCGTCTTTCAAATCTAAATATATATATCACGAAAGTTCTGAAAATAATCATTAATATCCGTCTTCGTGACTGTTGGATTTTAGAAATGGCACTTAAGGAAAATGGTAACTTACTGCAATATATTTCGCATTTATTATGTTGTAAACATCTATAAACTGATACATGTCCTCAAGTGTTCAAGTTGTTGAAAAAAAATTCGTTTATCGTATAAATATGTCTCTTCAAGTGTTACTCTCTCATAAGCAGTTATACTGCTGTTGTATACTACATTGCTTTGAATAATGTGTTTGAGGTGCATTCGTCATAAACCAACTAAGAGTTTGAGGCGTTAGTATGTGTGAGTGTGTTTTTCAAAATAAAAATGATTCCACACAAACAATAAACATTATGTTTTTATAGTTTAGCAGCCATTCCTTTTATCGAGTGGTGTTATCGAGCGTGCTTGTTAATTGTGTTTTTGTATTATATGTGTACGAGGATTGCATTGGTTGTCGTTATGTCGTCAATCAAAGGGCCACGTTACAATCACACATATGATAAACATACTGCTGGCGTAGTCAAGTTGGCTCATTGCCAGCTCGCGGCTTAACGTTGATACATATACAAACTGATAGGCGACTTGTAAATCGGCAGTGTTGCGGTACACGTTGACTGGACTACGACTATAGTTAGCGTCAAAAAGTAAGTAAAACCAGCGTAGCGGGCGTTCCTGTGTGTCTATATATAGTATCAGTAATTTCAAGTAATGATTTTTGGGGGAAAGATAATGGTAGAATTTGAAAATCGTGTTATATTTTTTTCTTTATATTAACACATATTCATATTATACTTTCAAATGTATCACGAAAAACGCTTTGTTGTCTCAAATAATTAAAGAGGAAATACAATACATTTGAAGTTTTCCTTTTCCTGACAAATGATACTATCTTCTTCTTTAAAATGACGTAATACGTTAGGTACTTAAGCGCAATAGCATTGTGTTGGGTCCAATCAAGATAACAGCTGTGCATGTCTACTGGAACATGAGACGAATTGCGTCATCATTTACAACATTATAAATTCATTTAAGGTGGCTCCACACTTTCGCAATTAACCAGCCAAATTCGTTGAAACTTTCATATAATGGTAATGCAACTTTGTAGAGTTGATATCGATATCGATATCGGGTGTTAACATATCATCGGCACGCACGTGTACTATTGTTTACCAGGGGCCTGTTCGTTTATGCGGAGCAACCGGTTTGACCGTTTATAAATGCAACAATTTCGGGTATAAATCCTGGCGGACCTGCAAATATGTATGCAGGCCTTGCAAGGCTTTCTCAAGGCTCGCCTGAAAGCAGCATCAGATTACTAGGTCCGACCTTATTTAAAAAACGAACAACAGTGGTCCGATCGGTTTGACCGTTTAAACGAAAACGGCCCAGGTGTTACTATAATTTGCACTACGATATTGAATGCCCGATACGCAATACGGAAATGACGACACGGTGTACATGCACATTTCGATGAAGATAATTGAGTCCGAGCTGTACTTTTTCCGGAAGTATGTCACGAAAATGGACGCTGATGACGATGTGTGGAGCCACCTTAAACATTTTGGATTGTTTGTTACATAAGGTTTATTATTATGTCCCCCAAACAAATATTTCTTCCACTTTCTTCCGCCGACGAGGTTTCCAACATATTTTCTCGAAAACCGTTGGGCGGAATTCAACGAAACTTTACATGAGTGTTCGTGTATGACAGGCGGTGCGCAAGAGTATTTTTATTTTTCGATCGGTCAACCGACTGGTCAGCCGGACGGCGGCCTCTGTTTGGTCAACATTTAGATATTGTTCGATTTTGATGAAAATTGGTATATAGGGATATTAGGAGACTGTGAATTCAACCGCATAGGTTTCGTTGCCATATTTTACGATTTTGATGAAAATTGTATATAGGGATATTAGATGACTACGAAGTCAACCGCATTTGTTTCGTTTTCATAGAAACCACACGAAGGCTTCTGGTTGGTGGAAATTCAGATATTGTTCGATTTTGATGAAAATTGGTATGTAGGGGTATAAGGGAACTGTGAATTCAACCGCATAGGTTTCGCTGCCATTGCAACCTCATGGGGGCTTCTGATTGGTCTAAATTTAGATATTTTTCGATTTTTATGAAAATTGGTATATAGGGATATTAGGGGGCTGCGAATAAAACTGCACAAGTTTCGTTACCATAGCAACCACATGGATGCTTCTGATTGATCGCAATTTAGATATTGTTCGATTTCGATGAAAATTGGTATATAGGGGTACTAGGGGACTGCAGATTCAATCGCATACGTTGCGCTGCCAGAGCAACTACACAGAGGATTCTGATTGGATGCAATTTAGAAATTACTCAATTTCACAGAAATTTAGTATGTACATTGTATGTGTACTATGGCAATGCGATCGTTTTCTGATGCATCTTTGCGAGCAGTTTAGGGGACATCTGTAATGGTCCCCCATTACAATTAGTACTTGTTATCATATGATTTTTATACTATTTTCAAACTTACAGGAAAAGGTATATTGGATGAATTATGTTAAAAGAAGTACAATCTTTTACTTACATGTACTAGATAAATGGAAAAAGAAAAAGTCATTGTACATAAAACTTCTACAAATAACTTATCGTTCTTATTAATCTGACCTCGATGGTACTGATTTCATTTATACGAGTAATTACAAAATTTGATATTAAGCCGAAATGAACATGTAATGATATATATTTCCATTTAAGGTACCGGGGTATCACACGGTACGTACGTATATGGTTTTTAGCTAGGTCTAGTTATATCGTCTTCTAAAGTCAAATGAAACTCGTTCACGTCCATTGAGTCATAGGTTTACCTGTAGAGTGTATACGCGTATGCTACGTACTGTTTACATATAACTCATAATGTAACCAATGGTTTACAAATACAATACCTTTAAATACTATAACCATAAAACGTAATGGAATTCATTAAAAGAACATTTAACTACCTGGTATAAGGGATACAAATTACGCAGTGCAAATTCTTTAAAGAATAATATTGTTGGTTTATTTCCTGGTATAATAAATGCCTAAAAAACTTTTAATGCAAATAATATCATCAGTCATATTTAAATGTTAAACTCTGTATCTTTTGCACCGATTATAATAATATAATAACATGTTTGTCGTTATTGTATCGGCAGAATGGTTCTGAACTCGGAAGAGTAATTGTTGTGGTGGAAGCAGTGCCAGTTGTGCACCCGTATGTCATCTCATATTGACTATTTCTGGGTCGAACGCTAAAAATGATCAATTGGAAATGGGCACCATTACACATAGATTAAAGTGGAATTATAATATGTAGCTTCAATAAGATTCATCATTTTGGAAATATGTGATATCAAAGTTTCACTTTTTACACAAAGTACGTATCAAACGTGTCGCAACGTTTAAAGACCGACTGGCCCCTTTGTCAAACTATGAATGAGTGCTGATGTAGATATTAGATGTCGCTGAACCACGTATCAAGATTTATCAGATAACGATGGTATTTTAAAATGCATAGTTACATCATCAATAGCATGACACCATTGCCTCAAACATATCATACTGAGTTATCACTGTGTTATTAAGATAAAGGTAGATAACTCTGTTGGTACGATGGTTTCTGTACTATCTCACTAGTATCAACATGAGTTGCATATACTCATATACATGTCAGCATTATCTATGCTAATGAAATTATATGCAACATCGTATGGGGCTTAATTCTAATTTCATATGCCCATGTTATTTTACTGAAAAACATTCCTGTACTAAACCACCTTACCTGCATTTGTTTAGATCGATATGCTCTATTCCGTCAAGGCCGATTCAAATATAATACAAATCCCCCAAGATAGTGTGGGTATTCCTATTGACTTGTTTTTGCTGGTGATCAACATCTGGTCTTAGAGAGCGATAATGAAATATTTCGAAACTTGTGAAACTTAATCAAAATGCAGAGGCTATTATATTTTGGAAACTTTCACAATTCAATTGTGCTTTTGGTTTGTTTACACTTTATTCTCCTTCGGTATAAAGCTTTTATAAAATTGTCTATTTATATGTTTATAAGTTGAATATGGTTGTTCCAGTAAAGAGCGTTGATAATGATGTAATAACATGTGACCCCTCTTAATTTTTGTGGATAAATATCCTGATTAGATTGAACTTGATTCGTGGATAACATTCAATCCAAATAACGCAAATAGTACATTTGTATATGTAACCAAAATATAAACGTGTATTTCATATCTATTTTCATAGGGACCTGTTTTATACCTACATTTAATTCAAAATCTATAAATGTGTGTACGTCTCTAAAGTATTTGTACTTTATTTTTTTACAGTGGGAACTGACATCTCAATGAACTGGTTCAGATACGGGATGGTCGGGCAAATATTCCCGATCAATAATGATAAATGAATGCCATCGCAATTATAACACGGAACATTATGCGTTTATATTTTGGCATGGCAGTATCAGATTGAGTCTTTTTAGATTGCTATTAACAAATTCTGTGTTTGTCAATCTTATACGAGTTTAAGATTTACATATTTATTTATTTTTCTTTAATTTCATTTTTGACGTTTCATTACATAAGACAAAGACAGTATAAATAAATATTTTCATATTGTTTATCAAAAGCGTAATCTGCTTATTAAGTTACGGAGGAATTTTAAAATGATGTCACAAGAGATTGATGGTAGGGAATCATCAATCTCGCCAACATTTAAAACCTCCATCAAAAACCTTGATTCAATTTCGCCAACATTTAAAGCCTCAATCACAAATCCTGAAGTGCTACCCAACTTTGTGTCGGAGCCAGACGACAAATGTATAGTCTGTCAGTCGCTGTTATGGAATGCCTTCCAGCTACCGTGTGGACATCACGTTTGTCAGACCGATATCACTGCTCTCTTCAGAGACAAAGACACGGACGTTTGTCGTGTGGAAGGCTGCCATGATGCCTTTTCAAAGAATGACGTGAGTGATTAATTCTAGATTTATTTATAAACATTATAATTCAAATCATTTAAAAGAATAATAATTCACAAAAGACGTGATGGTGTTGATATATATAACGATATGGTTTCTGTCATACTTAAGACTTATGTTATTGAATCTTTACGTGATCGAGTTTGTCATTCATCAATCAATATACTTAGTTTATCACACAGCACTTATTACTATATGCCAATGTGTAATTTAACTTTGGCTTTACTGATCTATACATGTATGTATGTTGCGGATTAACTGTGCAATCACGATTCAGTCAAATAATATATACACCATTGTTGATTTCAAGTCGATATTCTAATGATGGAACATACTAATATTCATTAAAAGTAATGGATATCTTAAGGTTTCTAGTTTATTGCCGTCTATAATTCACGAGTGTAGCACTATATTTCATTATTTTCATAATGTGGCAGCATGTTGGAAAACCTTCAAGTATTCCGTCAAACGAATGAAATATATTCAGCTGGAAAACATTTATAATTCTGCTTGTCTCATGTTAGAACTTTTAAATGGGAAACAACTCGGTGGCAGAACCCCTTTTATTGTAGAATCGGAGAACAGTCGATGACGTCGAACTTCTCTATGATGATACCATCGAATACAATACCAAGCAGTCTTTGTTGTTTATATATTCATTTGTTTTCTTTATGTATTTTCACTGGATACCATCCGACAAAAAGTTTTTGTTCATCCTTAAAACAATATTTTCATTTTTTTGTGATGACACAGGATTACTATTTTAAATCAAAGTAAAAGGTAAATGTTTCATCTTGTAGTTGTTACAGCTAATAGTTTGAACTGATTTGTGTTTTGAAAATAATGATTTCAGGTTTTTCCAGATGCATGTAAGCGACGTGAAATATCAAACCTAACTGTTTACTGTTCGTACAAGGATCTGGGTTGTCCAACAGAAATATCTTGGAGGAATTTGCCGGTATGTAAGCTTAACGTAGTAATATACTTATTTCTTTTCCGGATTTCACAGATTTCATAAATAATGATAATACCAATTAAAACGAATGGAAACTGAAAATAAAAAAGGCATGGCGTTAATCTTTATGCTTACAGAAAAAAAGTTAATGAATGTATCTCGCTTTTACATTTCTGCATATTGAGTTTTGAATTAACAGTTACTTTGATCTTTAAACTTTGAAGTTTAGCTCCGTCCATTAAAACTTTGACCTTTAGCCCGCTCCATTAAAACTAGTTCTTTTGATTTTTAGCCTAGTCCATTTTGGCTTAATTCAAACGGCAACAGCAAATCAGTACCAAGATTTAATCTTTTCGTATATATGAAATAGTAACAAGTGTTATTCGAATGGAGAAATATTGCAAAATTCAACCCTCAATGTGTTTTGTGCATTGGCAATTTCGATCACTGGGATGTACTAAATTGAGACGTCAGACATGCCCACGTATCATCTTTGCAAAAATCTTTCTTTTGAAATTAACTTGTTACTATCTTCTTGCGATTTAACAATAAAAGATGTATATTGTATATAATTCTGAAATTCAAGTGAGCGGAACTACATTTTAAGACCTTTAGCTCAAAGTCTATAAATGTATTGTATATGCTATATTGTCTAGGAAATCGAAACATCAAATGTCATAATAAAATGGTTGAAAAAATATCATTGATAATAAGTTGAAAATATGAGGCAAGTCCATAATACACAAGATACATCGAAACACATAGCACATGTGTCACGTCCATTTTCTTTGTAAACATTCCAAGTAAACATTTGTTAATATTGAAACTACCCATCCCCTACGCTGGATATGTTTCAATAATTCGTTTTAATCAAGTTTTTCCCCATTAATTTTACCCCTTTTACGCATATAAAACACAATCATCTATTAAAAGTATGCTTTTTCATAACACAAACTTTTTGTCTGTTATTATTATTTATCTCTTCATATTACAGAATCATGAAGCATCGTGCACTTATCGAGGAAAGAAATGTGATAAATGCGGCCAGGCAGTCTTACAGTCCGAGATAGAGTCACACATGTCAAACCTATGTGAATATAGAGAAGTATCCTGTCACTACTGTTCAGAACCCATCTGTTTAACGGCAATTGAGGTAAGCATCTGAACAGCATGGTGAAATGGCTTGGCTGGTCATATGTGTACGAGACATTAATATAATGTAGATAAATATATTTTTCCGTATAACATTGATGATTGGGCATATTATGCTGTTGTCGCGCTCAGAACAATTGATTGGTAATATCTGAACTTGTCAGGTATATTTAAAGCGAAAATGTTCTTTCATAATTGTTATAACATATAAGATATAGTATAACCATTATTCCTGATTTTCGATCCGTAATCTGAAGATCATTTACATGCTTATGATTATGGAAAGTTCAGCGAATGTATCAATGGGTAGGGACGTCAACTCTGCTTCCCGAAATCTCGTAAAATGCATACGCTGTACAGTGTACCACATATAATCAACTAACAAGGTAATGCTGTACAGTGTATTACATATCATCAACTAACAAGGAAATGCTGTACAGTGTACCACATATCATCAACTAACAAGGTAATGCTCAGAGACGAAATGAAAGGATAATGGGTGTGGAGGAAACAACCAAACCACAGGGGTTCGTTTCAAATATCTAATACACACATGCTATACTGATATGGGTCAGTAAAGCATATGTGCATAAGACATTTGTAACGAACCCCATTGGCCAAAGAGAAGGACAAGCAGCGTATATTCACAAACGGGGTTTATTTCTAAGTTTCAGAAAAAGTGTTCCTCTGACCCAGTGACCACAATTTTCCAACTGCGGATATTCTCCGTTTCCTTAACCTATCTACAGAATGAAGGATGTTGACACCAAGTTGTAGCATGTATATATACTTTGATACAATACATGATCAACTTTGCAAATCAGTCAACCCAGGACCCTTCTCTAATAAACCAGATTGATACTATAGTTTTAGGGATTCAAATACTTTACAACAAATTAAGAGAGCGCTTTAGAGAAATGCAACACAATGCTTTCTGCCATTAGGTTGAATTGGTATACGAGCATAACCACTGAAGTCAACTCGTGCCATATAAGTGTTAGCAATAGTATGATAAATATTAATTAATAAATTTTACTCAATCTTGTACACAGGATCATAAATCGGAATGCAGGCGTTTCCCATTGAGCTGTCCCAACGAATGTGGAATTCACGAAATACTACGAGAGCAGGTGTGTAATCATATTAAAGACTGATAATAGATCTAATCAATACAGAAGTGGATGAAATCGTGTGATTAAGCTTTATAGTGGTATGCCTTATACCGCATCTTCGAACATCCAAGAGTAGCACTCACGTAGGTTCTCGCACTCCGGGAGTATATGTCATGACAACAATCGATTGCTCTGTATGTGCCGTGCCAACTTGTGGACGATACAAGAAGACTATTTGGATCATTTAATGAACAGCGAAAAAATCGCTCAGGAGCGTATCGGTAAAAGTGATCGACTTTAAGGTGAAATCTCATTCACCTGTTATCATAAAAAAAGGTATTAGCCTAGTGGTTGTCAAGATTTATTCTAGGAGTGCAGGAAATGTAAAGTGAGTGTAACCACTGGAGTATCGATGATGCTGATACTGATATATGACATTTGTTTTTATAGTGAGATAGCAAATATTTAACAAGAGGCCCAATGGGCCTGCATCGCTCACCTGGTATACATCTCACAGTTGTAACCTTAAAAGTGATCTTAAATAAAGCTAAAGGCAAAATATCAGTATTTATGATTAAAAGTCATTCGAAAGAACATGTTAAAAGATTTAAAACATTTCATCCCTGTGACCTTAAAAGTCGGACAAGATCAGTATGTTGAACAACTTGTATAGCCCTTCATCTCAGGATGCAACTTGCAAAATATCACCACCCTATCCTTTTGTTTATTGAAATTAGGTCATTTAAATGTTTAAACATATTTGACTAAATGCGACCTCGAAAGTGGGTCAAGGTCATGCAAATATAAAAGCTGCATAGCCCTTCATCCATGCATGCTACTGGCTTAATATCAACATTCTGGGTCTCATGGTTATTCAGAAGAAGTTATTTTAAAACAAATTTAACCCCTGTGACCTTGAAAAAATTCAAGGGTATTCATTTGAACAAACTTGGAAGCCCTTCATCCTAGCATGCGACTGGCAAAATATCAACATCCTGGGCTTTTTGGTTATTAAGAAGAAGTCGTTTAAAGATTTTGAACATATTTGATGCCTGTGAACTTGAATGAATGTCAAGGCCCGAAGGGCCAGGTGAGCTAAAAATGAAAGATCAAAGCAATTTATTGTTTACTTATTAATTTAAACAAGCTGTCGATTGGAAAACAGACGTTTTCTTGCTTAATAATGAAGAAGAATAACATAGATAGCATGTTACTTGTTGTGATAGTGTATATGTAAACACATGCAGAGAGTCCTGCTATTGTGTGTAAGGTTTGTCTATCATATTACTGGGCCTGGTGGGATGGTTACAGTGGTGATGATGATTAAACAAATACTTTGTATCCCTGTAGATGGACTCACACTTGGATCAGTGTCCACGCAAGAAGATCGCGTGTACATTTGCCAAGTATGGCTGTGAAAATAAAGTGAGTAATGATTTGTATACTTCATAAGTACTTCATGCTTCATAAACTATACAATAGTTATTTCAAAATTCAAGTAGTATTTCGGTGACTTTATCATCAATACATGGATTGTCTGTGTTTGGGACAAAGACTTCAATTAAGTAGTGTTATTTAAATAAAGTTGCAACTTCACTGGAATTCTGTTTGCACATGACGACTTACCAAATATCACAACAAACATAGTTATTTCTCTTCAATTCTTACAACACAATTAAATTGACAAAATTTCTATGCTCAATTTTATTGTCATTCGTTTTATATATAAATGACAAAATAATGTAAATAAAAGTGGCAATAAAGACAGCACATTTACAGAAGATAGAATCATCTTAATTGTTTATTGTTATTTTTTAACAGATTTTTTTCTTTTTTTCAGGACAGTTGTCTTTTAATCTGTCAGTTTGTTTGATATAATTTTCTTTTACGTGTTTTATCTACTTTTTATTGGCCCTGAATACATTTTCTTTGTTGATGGGCCGTTAAGAACTCATTAAATAAATAAAATCTATATTTAAAGATTTCACTCTAGCCTAATGATCTGTTATCATTTAATATTCGAAACGACTCAATATGACGAGCACCACATCTCCACTGACCTACAAACTTTCCATTACAGGGTACAGAAACAGAAATGACCACCCATAAGAAGGAGAGTGTCTCTGTACATCTTGACATGCTGGTAAAACCATTAATCATCCCAAATCAGCAGAACGAACCGCTGTCTACGAAATTGAGCGAATTGGAAAACATGAAGGTACATCTACAATACTAAAGTTTAGTGTTATTTTGGACATGTTTTGCTCTCTTTCTTTTATATACTTCAACAATATGACCATGGTGAATATATTGTTCGTCTCAATTTAATATTTATTTGCAATCAATTACACAATATCATTTCGGCTAGAAAACAATTTTATGGCAGAAACATAATTGTAAAGACTATCAAAAACAGAATCACACATTCGGCATGCTTGTTAGAGATATTTAGTTGCAAAGTGTGACACAAATGAAGCGGAGTGATTGAAACAAGCTTTTGCTTCTAACATGAAGAACTGATTCATTGCGCACCTATCTGTACAGAGGCTTTGTATTTCAGTTCATTTTTCAAACAAAAACAAAATAAAACAAGACACTTAGAGAGGATGAAAGGGACCGATGGTCTTGGCAATTCCTTGTCTGCACTGGCGGTAATTCCTCAATGCTATTATCTAAGTAATACGCATCCAACGAACGTTTGTTTGTTCGTATCTAATGCCCATATTGCATACTGTTGTTATTATCTATGGGACCTATATATATCGAATTTTTAAATATTATCTAGAGCTACATATTGCCATCGAGTTAGGGAGATGCATTCAAATGAAACAGTGTTCAAACAATGCCATTCAATTTGATACAGTATGACATGAAATAACATTTGTATATTCCAGAATACATTGGACAATGTCATTCAAGAAAATGCAAGGATCCCCCAACTCGTCGAAGAAAACAAAAAACTACAAAAAGAGGTTCAACTTAACAAAACATCAATTCATGAAATGAAGGTATGATATAAACATATTTTGTAATGAACATAACATCCTTCATTCTCATTGTGTACGAGACTAGTGAAACGAGTACAGAGAAGACTTTATCAAGCGAAAAGGAAAACCGTCGCGGCTATTTCCATCATTCTCATATGAAATGAAGACGAGTTCGACGTAGAAAGGTAATTAGAAATGTCTGTCGACTTTGTTGTGATATCTTAATTCAAGCACAATGGAAATAAAAATTGGAAGGTCGTATTACACTGATCACATATGACTAAAAGATGACATAGGCATGTCACCCTTAACGCGGCAAGTCTGCGATAACATAAACTTAACTGCAGATCACCTTATGTTTGCAAGTGTGCTGCTAATGCTTTTTCTTGCGAATATGCATATTCATGAAATCTATTACTATTGTTAAATAGTATCTACATAATAAACCTCGTTATAATGCCAATATTTCCCAGGTAAATCAATGAAAACGTATTGTGATTGTTAAAAAGAAGAATAGAGACCTCGAAATTGGTTAGCGGTTAATAAGGTTGCATATAAAACGAGGAGCGTGAAATTGAGGTTGTATTTATCCTAGCATTATCTGAAGCCATCTGGTTTTATCGATAAGATTTTAAACGATATAAGCGTAACGAAGGACGAGGGGGAACAGCCATATGAAATTGGAGAAAGAGCCGTCTTTAGAAATAGCAAAATCTGTTTGAGGACAGACCCCTAACTACGGACGATGGGCGATTTTTACAGCCCGCCGCTGATAACAACTATATTGGATTTGGACGATTCAATTGGTTTTTTTTTTTTTTCAAGCATTTTACTTCCCCAGCACATTTAGGATACTGCCGAGGTTGGGGAGCCCCGGGATCAGCATCTTCATAATCATGTGTCCTCATACAAGAGGGCTATCATACTTTCTTTCATACTTACTAGTAATTATNTACGATTCAATTGTTATCGCTATTGTTTAGAAACACTTCACAGATGTTCGTCAAATCCGTAGGATTATATCCCGTAGTCTGTATTAAATTGAGACTTTTGAACTAGCAAGTTAACCACTAGACGACCATCTTTGGTTTTGATGGTTCATTATTTCTCAAGAATTCCTTGACAGATCCTTTTAAAATGATATGAAGATATACCCATGGTCTTACGTTGGGCGTGTTCTATTTTGAGACTGATGGAAAAATATGGATGGCCGCTAGGTTATCATATTGAATTTTGAAGGTTCGAATAATCATTGCTAATTTTTAACAAGAATTTGTCAGATATTTCCAAAACTTTCAGATAAAGGTTTCCCTTGTTTCTATATTCTCGCATTTCACTGGCAATGCGCATCATAAAAGCGTATTTATCTAAAGATTCAGGTCATTTGTTATCGATATATTTTCAAAGCAGATTTGGGGTAAAAGTATTTACAAATAGTTCAGGTGTTAGTTTTGGCTACATTATAGATGAAATAAAATACATTTAATTAAACTCATATTTCAGAAGTATCTGGCCAGCAATGGAGAAAGGGTTATACAGACAGGACGCCGACTTGAAGACAAAGCGTCCGTGGAGTCTGTTGATACACTCAAGAATGAAGTCACGGTGATGAAGGAAGCATTGCAGACATCCAATCAGAGAATGACCAACATAGAGCGTGCGGGGGTGGTTGTAGGTGGTGCTGGGGGTATGCAATCCTGTGATTACTCATTATCTTAATATTCAAATGTCTTCACTTTTCATCCAAGTTCAGCTTTGTGTTGATTGATGTATTTTCGGCGTTCATGCTAAATGCGGCTATACTGGCGCAAAATAATTCACTTATGTACTTAAAGATAAGCCAAGTCAAAAAAGCATTGATGCCCTATGACAGTATAACGTGAAAAGGCAAAGGTTGTAATGGAGTATACTATTAATATTATGTCTTCAATTTATATATCCGAGAAAACATAAACTGTTTATATTTCAAAATTATACACTTGTATAATTGTGTATATGACTTTTATCTACAGGTGGAAACTCTAAAGTTATACAGCAAGTAGAAAAGCAGGTTGGACATATGGATATCCGACTTTGTGAATTAGACCTGAGACTTCAGCTGCAAGAAACAGTAAACTACGATGGTGTCTTGATGTGGAAGATCCGAGATTACAGTCGAAGAAAACGTGAGGCTGTTTCTGGGAAAACCCTGTCGTTATACAGTCAACCGTTTTACACCAGTAGGTATGGATATAAGCTTTGTGGACGGATCTATCTGAACGGTGATGGGACCGGGAAGGGATCTCACCTCTCATTTTTCTTAGTTGTGATGCGAGGCGACTTCGATGCACTTCTGCCTTGGCCTTTCCAGCTACCCATTTCTATGAAACTCCTAGACCAAAACGGCACCTATCAACATGTCAGCGAACAATTCATGCCTAATGCGAGTAGTGGCAGTTTCCAAAGACCAAAGTCGGAAATGAACGTTGCTTGTGGCGTTCCCCGCTTTGCTCTCCATACTAAACTGGAAACGGAGACATATCTGAGAGACGACACCATATTCCTGAGAGTTGCTGTGGACTCTTCTAATGCACAAACTTTGTACTGAACATTAGGTCCCTGTTTCAAATACTTTGCAGACAATAGACGCCTCCATCAACCAATCAAACCTTTTGAACTTTTGAAAGTAAAGAGATGCTCTAGTTTGTGACATAGGCGCCTGCAGTTAAAATGTGTTAAATGTTCTTTACATGCATGAAGTAAGATAATACTTAATAGGTTCCAAAAACCCTTGTCCTATAGCTCTACAGTATAAACCGATCATCGAATACTAATGAAGTTTGTTATCGAAACACATTCTCTGATGTCTGTGTCCTGGATAAGACAAAGCAGTATTCACAGAGATGACTTGACCGTTTACAACGATGTGAAGTGGCAAGGAGTAATACGTTCGGCATACCCTGCTTGGTTCTATATTTAGGCTCAATTTAGTGGCATATCTCTGAGATGAAAAACGGTTTATCTACAACTATAGTATGCGTAATTTTGTTTTGTATTTTATCTCGTTGCGAAAGCTAAAATCATATGAAGACTTGACAAACCATGCGTGTTCAACATGTACATAATGCCGTCACCGTAATTCAAAATGCACCATCGTTCAATAGTACTTGTGTTAATTGAATATACTATTCAACTATAATGTATTGACTTATCACCGACATCGCCTTTATAATATATTGTGTATGTGCGTGTGTGTGTGAGTTTACATTTATAAGTGGTAATTATACTAAACAATATATATTCTTTATCAAATATCTTCTTGACCATCGAAAAAAGGATACGTACTGGTCCGGTATATCTGCCTGTGTACTGATATTAATTGTTTTAATTTTCCGATTTGTGTGAGTGTTGGCGGTATACATATTTACAATGTGACATTATTTAAATTTTATTTATTTACTTGATTACTTAATATACATTCATGTTGAACTGTTGTATAGTTCATGCAGCTCGTGCATGCATGTAGTTTTATGCATGTTTGATTTACAATACTGCGGACAATACTCTTTTTGGGTTAATATTTTAATAGTTTTTAAAACTTATAAAGTAATTGAATATCACCTAACAGTATTATATGAAGTGCAAAATATACTTTTTATAACCGAATATTGCTTGACAGACAATGTAGAATGCATGCAGTGAAAGGTAAGTATACAATTTTATTTAATTACTTGATTTAAAATAAAATAAATCAACGTGTTAATGGAACATATAACAAAATATGTGTTTTTTATTTATTTATTGTGGATTCAATTTGGCTTTTAACAAAATGAAGTTAGGGTGACCAACACTTCTACACAGCTAGTAAACTTCAGTAACCCGATACAATATTGCTGCAATAAGTTTGAATTATCATCCACTGAAAATCAACAAAATATACCCGAATATGTAAATTCCTTACACAAGAGTATACATTAACCCCTGTCCAAAGGGGAGGGGAAAGGTGACCCAGGGGTACTAGAATTCAAAATTTTGATAAAGTGTTTTTTTACCCTTCCATCCACGAAGAGGATTTGATTCTAGCAAAGAAGACTGTTTTAAAATTTTAGCCATTTTGACAACGTTTTGCTCCGTCACTTGGGCTCATAGGAATCAGACCCATATTGAGTAAAGGTTCTGATCCCCGTTTCAGCTAATGATAACCACCATTCTCCATCAAAATCTGATCAACAGTTTCTGGAAAGTCAAAAATATGATTGTTTCTGGTTTTGCACTAAGTGATTCCATACTCCGCATGTCGGCCCCTTCATGGGAATAAATTGCTCATCGTCTAAGCTTCACCAGTAAAATCCGCCAGTAAGATTCACAGGTAAAGTCTGTCGAAGGTTTTGAACTCTGATACTTATATTGGACCCGCCCCTCGGCCCCCTGGGTGGTCTGTCCCATATATATCGAGTATAGATTCTGCTCCCCACCTCACACTGGTAATTACCACAACGATTCATCAAATAGAGAGAAAATCTAGGCGAACTGCGAATACTTTCGACACGATGCTCTAGAGTTGGCTAGTGATGTAGCTTGTACACTGGCCTTTCACTACGGAAACGCACGTCATTGCTGTATACCCAGAAAGGATGTGGGGGTATGAATAATCAGCATATTGATTACTCATTGAAAGTAAACCTAAAGCACCAGAAAAGAAATTTTGAAAGTTTTGCAAAGCAATACACATGTCCCCTTACAAGACACGTCAAGAATGAACTCCAGTCCTCTACCAAATAAAAAAAAAATGTCTTGTCGTGATACAATATGTCACATAACATCAAGAATAAATACCATTACCCTACCAAAAACAAAAAGTCTAATAGTCGTGATACAACAGATGACCCCTGCAAGACACATCAAGAATGAAAACCATGCAGTACTCTACCAATATGTATATACATATGTATGTAAAATGATAACGTGTCCACCCACAGAGCAAAATCAAATTTGCACAAAATGTGGTAAACTTTTCAATTACGTAATTAGACATTTTGTCACGTTCATTCTAAGAGACACTTTTATGGACAAAATTATGAACGTCTACGGTATTCAACCTTATCTCCCGTTATCACAAAAGACAGAAGAATAATTTTTGGTAACCTTGTTCAAAGACGCCATAAAGTGTAAATGATGATTTTGCCAAAGATAGTGCCTATTTCCTGTGGAAAACAGCACAGATATATTTTGATTCCAGTTCATTTACATGATGAAAATTCCGAAATAGGATGAATATACCATTGCTGCTAAGGACATACAAACGTAGAAAGTGCGTAATACCAGACAAATTGTCAACAAGTATATTTCTTAATGGATAAATGAAATAATCACGTTTGGTACATTATTTTGTCAACAGTCAACTTTGCTATGTAAACATATCCTTTTTGTAACATACCCCTCTCATTCTCGAGGAATAAAGAATGACGATGATGTCACCTCATCACGAGACACTATCTAGTCAAAATAAAAGACATGCCCCTTTCCAAGGCATATTGTTAAGTCATGATTTACAACACCGGTCGCCAAGAAAAAAACGTTGCCATCATAATACAATGCTAACGTTTTACCAAGATACTCTTGTCCAGCTATAATAAAGGGAATACCCCCTGACAAAGCCATATTGGCTAGCTATGATACAATAGGGCCGTTTTCGTTTAAACGGTCAAACCGGTCGGACCAGTTGTTCGTTTATTAAATAAGGTCGGACCTAGTAATCTGATGCTGCTTTCAGGCGAGCCTCGACAAAGTCTTGCAAGTACTCGAAATTGTTACATTTATAAATGATCAAACTGGTTGTTCGGCATAAACGAATAGGCCTTAGATGTCCATTATATACTTAAGTCGCCATACACGTGATCGTTGGCGCAATACACATCGTCTAGTCCTGATACATTCATTCACTACATTTAAGGACAATAATTTCTGCCATTCAGAGGAAATTCCTCAGAAAATACAAGAGGTCCAGAGGGTCTGTATCGCTCACCTGAATATCTAAGCAACCTTTACAAAACTTTCTCCAAATGAGATCAAAGGGAATATGCCAGACCCCAAGGCCAATCGTTGTAGCATATCTGTATTAGATTGTTCATGCCCAGCAGTTTTATGTATGGTTATGGGTTGGGGATCTCAACTGTTTCTAAGTTGTGACTCAGAAACTAGGTCCCTAGGGTTGTGGCCAGACTCCAGGGTCAATTCTAATATTATGCCTACATTCGTCTCGTTATGCCTAACAATAGTATATATAGTTTTGGGGTGGGGATCTTAACCATTTTGAAGTTATGACCCAGGGGTTAAGTCTCCAAATGTGGGGCAAACCGAAAGGCTATAATGGAAGCATATCTCTTTACACTCAGCAATTGTATATATGGTTATAGGGTGGGGATATCAACTGTTTCCAAGCTGTGAAACTAGGTCCCTAGGGGTTCGGTCAGACCCCATGATCAATTATAATATCATGACTGCATTCGTCTCTTTTAGCAAAGCATTTGTATTTATAGTTTTGGGGTGGGGATCTCAACTGTTTCAAAGTTATGACCCAGGGGTTAAGTCTGCAAGGGTAGGGCCAGACCCTGGGGTCAATTCTAATATCACGACTGTATTCGTCTCTTTATGCCTAACAATAGTATGTATAGTTTTGGGGTGTGGATCTTAACCATTTCGAAGTTATGACCCAGGGGTTAAGTCTCCAAATGTGGGGCAAACCGAAAGGCTATAATGGAAGCATATGTGCATTCATCTCTTTACACTCAGCAATTGCATATGTGATTATAGGGTGGGGATATCAACTGTTTCCAAGCTGTGAAACTAGGTCCCTAGGGGTTCGGTCAGACCCCAGGGTCTATTCTAAAACAATGACTGTATTCGTCTTGTTATGCCCAGTATTTGTATACATAGTTTTGGGGTGGGGATCTCAACCGTTTTAAAGTTCTGACCCAGGGACTGTCTCCAAGGGTGGGGCCAGACCCTAGGACCATCCTTGAAGCAAATGTGCATCCTTCTCTTTATACTCAGCAACTGTATATATGGTTATACGTTATACGTCAACCATTTCCAAATAATAAACATATGTTGGCCCCACCCCACCAAGAGATGCTTCCAGTCAAATTTAGTTAAATTCCAAGCAGTGGTTAAGAAGAGGTCGTTTAAAGAAATTGTTGACGTACGGACGGACGACGGACGCCACGGTATGGCATAAGCTCACCTTGGTCCTTCACTATCAGTCACTCACAAGAGAAAGCCTGTTACATATTAGTATATCCTTCAAGGCCAGGTATTGGAATCTGTCCCAGCTGCCAAGTACCTGGGGTGACACTACATTCGAACCTCAAGTGGAACACCCACTGTGACAACGTAACATCTAATGGCAACAAGGCCCTTGTTTTTCATTACAGAAATCTTAAGATTTCAAACACCAATATCAAGGCCAAAGCTTACCAGTCACTTGTGCGACCCAAACTTGAGGTTTTTTTTTATGTAAAACCCATTTTTATGATAAAACTACTTACCACGTCCAATTATTATGCAAATGATCTCCAACTACCAGTTCTTTAACTTCCAAAGTTAAGTTTTTCAAATGCCCCGCGCAAATACGAAACTTCTCCCTGTCCAAACCGGAAATACGGGTGTAGGATGCGCGCGCACCTCCAGCTTCCTCTATTCTAAACACGAACAAAACACCTAAAAGCAAAAAGCCTAAAAGAGCCAGAGGAGCCAAGGAGGAGGGTGGGACTCACATTGGACGTGGTAAGTAGTTTTATCATAAAAATGGGTTTTACATAAAAAAAAACCTCAATTTAAAATCAAAAACAATACTTACCACGTCCAATTATTATGCGAATTCGTCTTACCTAGTGGATACTCCAATCCGGCAGGACCATGGCTAATCCAGGAGGGCGGTACACTGGTCACAGTCAATTGGAACCTTAATACCTAGGAGAAGCTCTTATATAGAGCATCCCAAATTAAAAGATAGAAAGATCATTGCCAAGCAAAGATATTCTGTCGCCATGCTAACGCATACAAATCTAAAAACAGAGAACACTCTACTCTGAGGTGGGTGGGCAAGCCACTGACTGGGCAACAACCACCGGACCCAAAGAGTAAAGTTTGTCTGAGAAGGACGACAGTGATCTCAGATAGAACTCTGTAAAGGTAGTGTGTCCTCGCCAGAAGGCTGAGGAGGATATAACCTCTGAAAAGGGAGAGCCATTGAGAAGGGCCCAAGACGCTGCCAGAGCCCTAACCTCATGGGCCCTAACCTTGAATATAGCCTTCTGACATCATCAGAAGACGACTCATAAGCCAGCCTAATATCCTGGCAAATCCATCGGGAGATGGATTGTGCCGAAATAAGGTCTACATGAGGCCTGTCCCAAACCAGACATATTGCTCGGAATATGGATGGATCGAGCTGCCAATCCGTCAGAACCAACTGAAGACGTCTTGACAGGGTGTCTGCAAGTATATTGAGTCTGCCCGGAAGGTGCTTGACCTGAATGGTTAGGCACAACTCCTGGCAAAGTAGCAAAATGCGAATGGCCAGGGCACACAGTACGTGAGACCTGGTGCCCCCTTTGCTTCTGCAGATAAGCTACAACAGTTGAGTTGTCTGTTGCCAGGCAAATCACCTGGTCTTGCAGATAAGACCCGAGGTCCTGGATGGCCAAAAACACTGCCCTTATCTCGAGCACATTGATGTGCTCGGAAAGATGATCCCCTGTCCACGAACC